AAACTTTTCCAGGACCTGGAATTAGCATTTTGAATTTCCACGACTTTTCCAGGTTTTTAATGACCGTAAGAAACCTGTCTAATAGATGAAAAGAGGATGGAGATGCTGACCTGGTGCAGGTGAGTTTGGCAGCTGCTGCAGCAGATCCAGTATCCTGCGCTCCTCAAACTGAGGAAGAGGAGTGAGAGAGTGCAGGATATAGAGAGCGGAGTGATGGTCCAGAGTGTGAAGCTGAGCCAGCAACGACTCCATGGAAATCCCTCTGTGCACAAAAAGTTACCAAAGAAGGAATGATTCAATATTAATCATTATGCATCATATAATGGCTTTTTTAAAACAGTAACACTAAGAACTATTAGAACATCTTTAAGAAAGGTGTTTATTGCAGCTGTATTAAGCCACATGTGTCAAACTCAAGGCCCGGGGGCCAAATCAGGCCCGTGGTGGATTTAATTTCGGCCCGCAGGATCATTTCTAATTCCTATTAGATCTGGCCCGTCGGTATATTGCACGCACACCTTCACTCCATCCTGAGGGTCTCCTCAGCTCAGAGCCTGAGCCCAAACATTGATGACCTTGCACCCAAGATGAGATGCCAAGTATCTGAACTAGCATCACAGAGCAGCACACTGAGTTTAATGGATGTTTCCTTCTGCACTTTCTCTCTCACGACAACAGGGCATGTTTGGTTTTCTCTTTGAGGGAAATAGTTTTGTTGAAGCTGTTGTTGGCCTGTGGGAAAATGTAATCATAAGAAATGACTCTGGAAAAGCTGCAGATAGAGCCATAAGAAATGAATGCAGCTGATTATTTAATGTTTAATGTTGTTTTTATAGGCAATCATTTAAGCTTTGTTAGTTCCAGGTTTAATATGTGCAATAAGTTCATTTCAATAAGTTCTGCAATAAACATGAACCAGTCCGGCCCTCCACTAGTACCCATTTTTTAATTTTGGCCCACTGTGTATTTGAGTTTGACTCCCCTGACCTATGCAATGCATCCAAATCAAACTTTATAAGATAAGAGGTACTTTATTGATCCCAATTCGGAAAGGTTTGTGTTGCAGCAGCAGAGAAAACTAAACAAAGGCATTGCATATTCAGTTTATTATCAGTGACATGAACTGGAATTTAGGGAAGAAAAAAATGACATTATTTTATAAAATATTTTTTAAAAACGTCTTATTCTTATTTATTTTATGAAAATCAATAATGGCACTTTATAAACAAACATAGCAGAGCAGTTAAGGTCAAACTAAATATATATAGCTGTCATTTTGGGAGTTTTTCCCCTTTTTTTAAACTGAAATAAAATATATACATTAAAATAAATACAAATAATTGACAGAGTAAACACACTGGCAATGAAAGGGTTAAAATTGTGTAAAGTAATGCATTATTGGTTTCTATAATCAGGACTAAAATTGGAAAATAAATAAGAGTAATATTGAAATGTGGCAGACCTTTTCCACAGACATATTTTCCTCTAAGGAAATTTTAAAAGGATTTACAAATAAATACAAATTAAGATAGGGTAAAAATTCAGTCAAGCTTAAAAAATAAAAACACAAATGCTTACGGATTGTTGTTTTTACACCATTCAAGGACTCCAAGCTGAGAGGACAACAGGTTGGAAAACTCCTGCAGAACGGAGTCATTGGCTGCAGCCTGAGACAGAGGGTTTGAGGAGAAGTTAATCACATTATTAAGCTGTAAATGATCTGTATGTGTGGAGGTTTTATCAGACGTCTGACCTGCTCTCGGTGCAGGACGCTGAGCAGCGTTTGGGCGGCGCTCAGGCTGCGACACTGCGTCCATCCCAGGAGCAACAGCAGGCGGGAGAGAGGCTGAAACTCCAGCTGAAGTAAATCTCTCAGCGCAGAAAACTCCTCGTGTTTGATCAGGTCCAGAGCCGTGATCTGCAGGAAGGAACCAAGGCCCAGGAGTTCAAAACTTTTAATCCCTATCTGATCAAATCAGATTTGGATTTTGGGGAGTTCAAAACCAAAAAACAGGATTAGGATCACTTTCATATCCGATCAAATCAGGAAATCCAATCCAAGCTTTAATCTGGATCAAATCTTCAAAACGGGTAGTTCAAACCGACAACACAGGATTGGGATCAGTTTGATCCCAAAAAACAGGATTAGGATCACTTTGATATCCGATCAGATCAGGAAATCCAATCCAAGCTTTAATCTGGATCAAATCTTC